TCCTCGCTGCTCCTCGCCCTTCCTCCTCCTCGCTCCTCGTTTCTTTTCCCGCACCCTCGCATTGCAAGGTGCGGGACCTCCATTGTCCGCACCATCTTGCGGTTCGAGCTCCTATCCTTTTGCTTGACTCTGGGCTGCATTCAGCCTTCGTAGGTTCCACTTCGGTCCGATCGCTCCGATTCGATGCCGATGCCGGCCAGCCCGATCCGATTCGATGCCGACATTCCGACGATCCGATGCGGCCCGATGCTCGCAGTTTGCTGCTGCGCAGCCTGGCCCAGCCGATCCGGTCCGATTTCGACTCCGTGCCGCTGCGGCCTGGTCCTATGCAAATTCCTACTCGTCCTGGTTTGCCGATTCAATGCTGACTGATCCTGCGCTCTCAGGTTCTCCTACGACCACTTAGGGGGGATCTTCGGCGGTTCCTCGCTTGCTTTGGAGGAGGCTTTCGCTGGTTCTTGGAAGCCGTATCGCCTCGGGATGCCTTCCAGCAGTTCCAGCAGCTGGGGGGGATGCATTGACCCCCAACCGCCCCTTCATCGGCGAAGTGCGTCTGATGGCCCGCTCCAGCCAGGAGCGTGCGGATTTCGCAGGTGGGGGCCTAGTGCCGATCTGTTGGCGATGTACCGCCGATTCCAGGTCGATGTTTCCTCCCATGAGCCGGTCCCCTGATGGTTCTCGGGTCGTAGCTCGTGCCTCTGGCGGCCGCCCGGGGTTGATCTGGGCACTCCCAGCACGCTCTCGGCGAAACGCAGCCGCTGGAAGGCATCCCAAGGCTGGAAAGCCGCCGAGAACGACGGAAGCGTCCGAAAACTTCAAAGGCCTCGAACCTCAAAACTTACTACCCCCCTATCGTTGCCCTTCGGCTACGTACGCCGATCATCCGCAGAGCTCAACTATTCGCCCCAGCCCAGCGCCTCTTGGCGTTCGCGCCTTCCTGTTAAGGGTGTGCCTCCTTCTCACCTCCTCCTTTTTCCCCCCCTTCTCTTCCTCCTCCTCCTCCTCCCTCTTTATCTCCTCCTCTTTTTTTCCTCCTCCTCCTCCTCTCCCTTCTCCTCCTTCTCCACCTCCTCCTTCTCCTCCTCTTCCTCCTCCATCTCCTTCTCCTCCTCTTCCTCCTCTTCCACCTCTTCCTCCTCTTCTTCATCATTCTCATCATCATCATCATCAGCAGCAGCAGCAGCATCATCCCCTTCCTCCTCCTCCTCCTCCTCCTCCTCCCATTTCTCCTCCCTCCCCCTCTCCCCCCCTCCCTCCCTCCCTTTCGTCTCCCCATCCCTCTCTCCTTCTACTCCTCGCACTTCTCGGTTCTCAAGCAACTTGGGCTCAGGCCATTTTGGCGGGAGCCTGCCTGCTGTGCTTGCACGTGGTGCTTGGGGCACCTCACCCACTCTTTCCAACCATGTCGATCAGACGCGTCGGCCTGGTCAAGGCCGACGCTGACGAGACGGCCGGAGGTCGGCTTCCCGACTTCTTTGTCGCCCTCCTGGAAGCAGCGGCCCACGCCTTGCTCGCCCAGCGCGGCGTCGCAGCGTGCATCGCATCGTCGCCCTGCAGAGAGCGAAGAACAAGCTGCTCATCCGAAGCGCGATGCCGCGCGATCTGTTGGTCGGGCCACGCAAAAGATCAAGGCGCGCATCGCGTTTCCATCAGTGGAGTGCGCAGGGCGACCAAGCGAGCACAGTGGCGGGTCCTTCGAGAGGGAGGAGGAGGAGTCAGGATTCGACGTGGGAAGAGCCGTATACATGCGTCTTGGCAATGGCCGCTGCGCTGGCAAACCAGTGTGCCACCTGCTGAAATCTGTGATCCGAGCGCACAAGCTTGTGTGCAGACCCTCATTTGGCTCTGCGTTGTTCGCAGCGCGCCTCCTCGCGCTGCGCGAGACGGTGCGCGGCCCCGCCTCTGCCGATGGGATCGGGGGGTTGAGGGGGCAAGGAGGATGTGCGGTCCCCGCAGAGATCGTCATAGACGGCATGTCCGTCCTCGGCGCCCTGCTCGCGGACCTGGTCTGGCCGCCGTCCGAGAAGAGCATGGCTGGCCACCTGTGGTGATCAGCCGACCAGCTGCGCACCGAGCGAATCGACGACTGCGCTGGTGCGACGCCATGGCGCGCAGGCTGACTCCATTACCAAAGGCAGCGTGGGCCGAGAGCTGATCCTCTGCGTGATGGACGGCCAGATCAGCCATGACCATGCCGCGGTCAAGTTCAGCGACGAGAAGCTGAAGAAGGCCGTCCCGAGCTCACAGCCTAGCTCACTCACGCATTAATAAGGAGATGGCTCTCGTGACTGTGTCGCGAGGTCACGCGAAGTCGGCGAGCGAATTTATGACATCCGCTGGCGAGATCGACGAGTCGAGCACTCCTGTGAGCGGGCTCGCCCGGACTGTTTCTGGGCAGTTCGCGGATTTTGGGCATTGCTCCTGAATGGTCTCGCATTGTTTCAGGTGGGCGATGGATTTGCCAGTTTCGGCTAGTCCCGCGGGCTCTGGCGGGAGTATTTCCTTTCCTGCCACTGGCGCCGTACAACGTTTTTGCGGTTGGCGCCGCGGGGGGTCAATGTGCCCTTGGGAATGGGCTGAAGTCCGCCAACCTCGGGACCTGCTGAACCCACTTGAACCTGTCCCCTTGCGGCTAAGCAACCTTTTATGGGAGGGGCGCTCAGTGTAGCCCTGTGTAGCTGTCTGCTTGACGGCTTACAAAGCGCGACGGACTCGCTTGAGCACCAGACTCCAACAGTGCTTGTCCTCTTGTCTTGCCCGTTTCTCACCCTGTCCTTGCCGCTGCCGCATTGAATCTCGAGGATCCTTTAATCCTTTACCGTGCCTGTTCTACAGCGCTTTGAAACCCAACCCGCTTTATATCCATACCACATAACTCAACACCTTCCTGCTTATATCCTCATGGCTAGTCCATGATGACCTTTCCGGGTGCTGGATGCGCTATTGTTTCGCCAAAAGGGGGTCCTGAATGGCTTCCTAGGGCTTGATGGGGTCGGAAGATCGCGCCACATCGCCGATGCATCGACGATGCGGCTCGATGTGGAGCCTGCGTTTCCCCGCGCCGCCGTCGCCGATGCATCGCCGACGTCGCAGATTCGTCGCCGACGCGTCGCCGATGCAGCTTATCGGCGGCGATGCTTCGGTGAGGCGGCGTGATCCTTCGACGCCATCCACTCGCAGACCATCTAGGAGGCCTCTGGTTCAGTCTAGCTCAATTCCGGGTTTAATATGCCCTGGCCCGTACAGGGTTCCAACCAGGCTTGGCAACCGCCGGTTCTGGCCCACCACTTTGCGGCGCGACGCGTTGTCCACGTTCTGGCCCCCGAGCGTCAACGTCCCGAGCATTCCCCCGCTCCCCGCCCCGCGGAGCGGAACGACACGTGACCTGCTCGTAAGGCATAGCGTGTTGCCAGGGACGCCGCCGCGACACGCTATGCAAACGTTCCTCGCCGCACACCGTTCCCACGAGGACCTCCCAAGAGCTGCCTCCGAACCCCTCCCTCTGGAGGGCCCCGCTGGCGGCCCTTGTGCGGCCCGGGTGGCTCTCGTTGAAGCGGGGGCGGCCGGGCAGCCGTGGCTGCCGGGGCCCCTTGCGAGTTTGCGCCCCATGTCGTGGCGTGCTTGGCCGCGCTGGACGCAAAAAAGGCTGACAGGATAAGGAGAGGACGGCGACGAGGGTGACGAGGAGAAAGACGAGGAAAACAAGGAGGAGGAGGAGGAGGAGGAGGAGGAGGAGGAAACGGAGGAGGAGGACGAGGAGGCGGAGGAGGAGGAGGAGGAGGAGCAGGAGGAGGAGGAGGAGAGCATGAGAGAGGAGGAGGAGGATTGAGAGTATGGCGGAGAGATGAGTGGGGAGGAGGAGGAGGAGGGAGGAGAGGAGGGTGAGGGAGGAGGAAGTCAGGAGGATGAGGAGGAAGGAAGAGAATAGGAGGGAGTGATGGAGGAGAATAGGAGTATAGGAGGAGGTAGGATGACGATGAGGATGAGGTGGATTAGGAGGAGGAGGAGCAGCAGGGCCTGAGGAGGGGATGAGGAGGAATGAGGAGGAGGATGAGGAAGCAGCAACGAGCGAGGAGGTAAAGGTACCGATGTGGAGGAGGAGGAGGAGGAGGAGGAGGAGGAGTAATGAGGAGGTGGGGAGGAGAGGAAGAAGAGGGGGAGGAGTATTGATGCGTGAGGAGGCGGAGGAGGATGAAGGAGGAGGGAGGAGGAGGAGGAGGAGGAAGGGGAGGACGAGGAAGGGGAGGAGGAGGAGGAGGAGGAGGAGGAGGAGGAGGAGGAGGAGGAGGAGGAGGAGGAGGGTCTGCGCCTCCTGCTCCTCCTGCGCCTCTTGTGAACCCTGGCATTCGCCGATGTGTCTTTTTCAGTTCGCGGCCACAGGGATCCCGACCCCTTCCTCTGGGGCAGTTCTCGGGCAGATCTGCGTCACGGATTCATGATTCATAGCCTCGGGGCCCGAAAGCGGCCCCCGTGGGGCCAGATCGCGAAACGAAAACACGGAATTGAAGAGAGTAGAAACGTCAGAGATCCAACGTTTCGATGTTTTCAAGACACGGGCCCCCGACTTCCCGACCATTTCCCTGGGAGCGCTTTTTCGTCCCGAGTCGTTTTTTGACGGTCCCGAGGCCCGGCGAGGGCCCTCAGAGGCCGAAAACGACAAGCAAAGTCGTCTGGATTTTTTCGAGACGCCCGATGTCGTGGCACCGTCAGGAATCTGGGGATGCTCCCGTCCCTCCCGCGCCCTTGCGCCCCGCCGCGCCGCGGCAGGCTGGCGCTCTTGAGGCCAGCCCCCCCCCTCCCTCCCCTGCCCCCCCTCCCTCCCCTGCTGGCTCCTCCGCTCCAGCGCCGAAGTAGCACCCGACGCCTCGTCGTCACCGTCTTCGCCGTCGCCGCCGCCGCCGCCGCCGCCGTCGTCGTCGTCGTCGTCGCCGCCGCCGCCGCCGTCGCCGCCGCCGCAGCCGCCGCCGCCGAGCCGCCCGCCAGCTGCTGGCCGCCAGCTGCCTGCTGGTGGTGGCCGCCTGCGGCAGCGGGCAGGCAGGGGAGCGGCATAAAATTCGGGGCAGGCAGAAGGCAGCGGCGGTCGCGCCTCCTCCCCCTCCCGCTCCAGCAGCAGCAGAGGCGGCGGCAGCAGCGGCGGCGGCACCGGCAGGAGCAGAGCAAGCGAAGCGAGGTGCAGGAGCAGGGGGCCTGGAGGTCCGACATCTCGATCTCGCGGCCCCTTCCGCAGGGCCAGCTCTTCATCCCGAGTCGTTCCTGACGGTGCCGCGGCTCGGCGATGGCCTGCGGAGGTCAAGAGCATAGGGAGCAGCGTGCGTCTTGCTTTTTGTTCACGGCGCGAGGACGTCTGGGGTCCTCGACGAGCCGCGGCGGCCCCGAGCGGCGGCCGCCTCCCGGCAGGTGCGGGGCCTGCCCGCGGCCCTCGATGTCCTCGACCCTCCACCCTCGACCCTCGACCGTCGGTGCCCTTTCGCGACGCGAGCGCGTGCGGCTGCGGGAGCGGCGGCGGCGGCGGCGGCGCGGCGAGCCAGAGGCCGCCAGGGGGGCACAGCAGGGAGCAGCCCCCCGCGAGGACGAGCCTGCTGCCGGGCCGGGCCTCGAGCGGCTGCTGGCGGGGCACGGGGCCGCGGGCTCCGAGTGCTGGGTGCTGACCTACCAGCTGCGGTCGGAGGACCGACCCTCTGCAGGGGGGTCGCCGCTGCCGCCGTCGCTGCCGCTGCCGCCGCCGTCCTCGCCGTCCGCCGCCGACCTCGCCGCCGTCGCTGGCGTCACCGTCGCCGCCGCAGCCTGGTGTCGTCGTCGCCGTCGCCGCCGCCCCCGTCGTTGTCGTCGTCGTCGTCGTCGTCGTCGTCGTCGTCGTCGCCGTTGTCGTCGTCGTCGGCGTCGTCGTCGTCGGCGGCGGCGTCGGCGGCGGCGGCGGCGTCGTCGTGACCTACAAGCTGCGGCTGGATGGCCTTCTTTTTGTGAGGGGGGGCACCGGGCAGGGCCTCGGTGGTGAGACGCCCGGCGGCGCGAAGCAGGCGAGACGGCAGTTGTCTCGCACGCCTGGGCCTCTGGACGCGGACCTCGGGCCCTGGCGGGGTCGAGAGGTCGTCGCCGCCGTCGTCGCCGCCGTCGTCGCCGTCGTCGTCGCCATCGTCGTCGCCGTCGTCGCCGTCGTCGCCGTC